GAGAGCCTCCAGATACTCTAATTTGCAGATTAATGTGCTAGTTGCATCAAGACCCAGGACATTCTCAAACAGATCTGTAATCACTCAGATGAGTGCAGCCTGACCACATATATAGGAAAGACAAAATAGGTGAAAGATGTCTTGTCCAGATTTCAGCATAGATTTGAATAGACACCCAGTTGAACTTGTCTAATAGTTATGTATATCTGGGACAATTAGTACAGATAACACACTGATCTGGTTCTAGGGTTCAGAAATAACAGCAGGTTGGATTGCCTTTAGTAAATTGCAGCGCTCTTTTACTCATCCCAAATTTTTCATGCAAGGGCTATCTTTTTTCAGTATTAATACTTGCTGTATGACAGCAAGACATGGGATATCAGTGCCTCTTAAGAGCAGAAAGTCTTAAGAGAGTCTCATCATGGTGTCAGCAGGCTGCACCATATAACCAGTGAAAAATGCTGACGAATACGAACAAATGGTGTCATCAAGAAGTTGAGTGATAGGAAGAGAAGATGGGCTATTCACATGACAAGAGCAAGGCCAACCAGAGTACTCCACTTGTATCCTTATGACGTCAGGAAGAAGCGTGGAAAGCCTCCAGTTCGTTGAGTTGGATCCTCTTGTGATGAAATTTTGGTTGAACCTGGTCAAAAGTAGCACAGGGTAGGCGGGTGTAGGTGGGTTGTGATCTGCATTGTTGGAAGTCCCAAACTGATGAGAGCACAGATCCATTTGAGTGTATTGGAACTTTGTTGCTCTCTGTTCCTTGGGGTATATGCCCAATAGTAGAATTATGGGGTCAGGGTCATTATGGTTTAAACATTTCTTGCATAATTCCAAATTGAAATCCAAAATTATTGGAGCATTTCCCAGGTCCACCATCAGTGCACCTGTCTTCTATAACCCCTTCAACAATGACTGTTCCCATATTTTTTTCATCTTTGCCAATTTGCGTGGTGTGAGGTAAAGTTTCAGACCTGTTTTAATTTGCATTTCTTAGATAGCTAGTGATTTGTAGCATATTTATTTCTTCTCCAGCTGCTCCTGGAAAGCATTAAAATAGATGGGGGTGGAGAGTGCCGTTGTTTAGGCTCTTCTTTCCTTGAATATTCCCACTCCAGGAACTAGTCCTTTTGTACCGCATAATATTCAATAAATGTTGGAAGAAATGCATCAAAATGTAAAAGGAAGCTGGTTCTTAGTCACTTTTTCATCATTCTTTTCCTTCCCTACTCTAGTTCCTTCTTGTCACCTTATTTGCTTTTACAGGACGTATGTTGGGTTGTAATAAGTATAATCAGTAGAAGAGGGCCAGCCCAGGGAAAGCTAAAGAAAGCTTCCATGTGGTAAAAAATTTGCTGGTACACTTTTTGCATTATCAATGTGATTTTGTTGTAAGTGGACAGTGTATCAAAGTTAGAAACTTTCATAGGCAGAGAGAATATTTATCCTCTTATTTTTGGCCTGTGAGATTGATGTGTATATAACGGATCCCTTGTTGACCCTTGTCAGCAGCCAGCCTATGCTTACAGTGTTGGCCCTGAGATTAGAGGAACTTGCAAGTGACTTTTTCAAAGCTAATATAACAATGGGACCTGCTTCCTATAGGATTCTCCTAAGATAAGTTATGTTGTTTTTTTCCCTAACTAGCTCTTTTGAATGTTCTCTAAAATTGTATTTCTCAAAAATGGAATATGCTGTAGTTTTATGAAGGCTTCTTGAAACTTAATAACAAGCTGCTGAAGGAAACCAAGTGGAATGTTGGGTAGGGAATGACTGGAAAGCAAGAAGGGAAGGATTGGGGGTTCTTTTATTCATCAATGAGAATGGGGCAAGTGGCTAGATGATGGGAAATTGGTACTGTAAATATTAAGCACTTAGTATATACTTATCATATTGGAGACTGAGGGTCGATCGGCAGGATACAACTCAATAGAAAGGCATCTGACCTTGAGGAATTTTTTTGGATTATAAGATCATAGATAATAGAATTAGATGTGTCTTTAGTGGCCATTTAAAAGCCAGTTTTTACTCCCTGATTTTAGTTAGGAATAAGGTAAAGAAATGTTGCCTGGGCTATCTAGGGAGAAGAACCTTCATGTTAATATTAAAAGGCAGTACCTGAAACTGGGGGACAGTGTCACAAAAAAAAAGTTTGGGAAGCATCCATTTTTATGTTGAATATTACTTAATGGTTAAGTAGATTCTAAGGGATAGCAGAAGTGCCATGGAAAGTTGTGTTTTGTGATTTTCTATATAATCCTGAAGGATTCATGTGCTATCTTAGTAGAAAGAGTGATAGGCCATGTTTTCTAGTATATAAGCACTACTCTGCTTTTTACCCCTGTGGGGTGTGTGTGATCCTTTGAAAAATTTTTCCCCTTCATAGCCCACTGTTTTCAGACTGCAACTCCAAATCATGTGGAGAGGAATAATTAAAATTAAAGCAAAACCTTGGTAACAAATATTTTTCATGTTCTGTAGTTAATAATGTTACATTTTATCAAATAATAACAACAGTTTACTTCATATTTATCTCATATTCTGTAGACAGATGAAAATGATATTCTTTAGGAGCAGGTATCATTAAAATTAAATGATCATATTGATCGAAATACTACATCTTGATTCCTTTCAAGGGTTTGGAGAAGCATGTCTTCCAAATAGTTCAGGATATTCTTAACGTTTCCTAATTTATACTTTTGACCTACCTAGGGAGTAGAGACAGACTAGGATTTGTGTTTTTTTGTTTTACATGTAGAGAAAGTGAGGTAGATAGTGAAGGAAGAGAGGAGTGAACTTTGCCTAGGTCACCTGTTAAGTGGACTGCAGAGCCAGCAGTACTGTAGAATCAAAGAATCTCAATTGTAGCTCCCTAAGAGTGTAAGTGTGTGTGCGTGTGTGTGTGTGTGTGTGTGTGTGTGTGTGTGTAGATTCTGTTTTGATCTTTGCCATTACATTGAAGATTGGATAGGTATTGAATATGTTTTTCTGATGATCCAGTTACTTTTGCTGTTATGTAGGGAGGTGTGGACTCCCCCTAGTTAGGGGATAACTCCCTAGCCTTATGTCTCTGCTGATTTGACCTTTAGGATCTTTTTCAGGGTATTCATCGTGCTGCACTTGTTTCTAGACATGAGGAAAATGAAGGACAAAGTCCTTGTGTGTGGCAGGCAGTGTCGCATTCTACTTGTAGTCTGTCTTGATTTGTATGTTAGAGTTTTTCCCTTCTGTTTTCAGCAGGACCTTGTGTGCTGCTTGCCTCTGAGAAAATATATTGAATGAAAAGATTTTAAATAAATGCTTGCAGAGCAGGGGTAACAGTCTGGGAAGCCTGACTCCCAGGTGGCTACTTTTGTCTCTCACATCGTCTGGGAACAGTATTAACTGGTAGGGCTGACACAGCTCCTCCTGCTGGGGCATGTGGTTCCCACTTCATGAGTATTCTGTTCAGAACGGGGAATGAGATCATATCTTTGTACTCCAAAAGCCACTGAGGAGAAGACAGCAGATAACGACCTTCTATCAGTTCTTGAATCTGGGTAGAGGGAGAACTGGTTAGGCAGTTTGTGATAAGGAATAGGAAGTCTTCTGTTTGTGCCTTAACTCTTCCCTCTCTGCCACCTCACAATCTTTTTTTTCTCAATGAGGATGTTCACTATAATGGTACCTTATATTTTTATAGAACTTTTGATTTTCAAACATGTTTTATTGATGCATTTTGTCTACCTATCACAGTTCTTTCCCACCTTCCCTTCCAGATCAAACCCTCTCTTTAAACAAAGAAAAACAATTAAATCTGATACAATGTTTATAATACTTTCTTACAGTAATTTTGCGCTCATCTGCCAGGAGGAGGAGGTTATGTTTATTTCTCTCTTCTCTGGGACTGTCACTGGTTTTTCCATTACTCGAGGGTTTGATTTCCTTTTAGTCATCTTTTCATTTACATTTTTAGATGTTGTATATCATTTTCTTGTTTTGATTACTTAATTTGGTATTATTTCATATAAACCTTGCTCATTCCTCTGAATTCTTCCTATTTGTCATTTCTTGCTGCATAATCATTCCCACGTGCATGACATTCATGTACCACAGTTTTTCATTCCCCAGTTGATGGGCATCCACTTTATTTCTGGTTCTGTGCAGCCATAAAGAGGGCCACTGTGAACATTTTGGTGTATGTTGGACCTTTGTTTCTGTCTTTGGCATCCTTGGGGTACTTGTTCAGTAATGGCATTATTGAGTTAAAGGGTTTGGTTAGTTTAGTTACTTTTATTATATAATTCCAAATTAAATTCTACTTTGCAGCCTGTCTTCCCACTGCCCCTGCAGTATTGAATATTGCCAATATTGACTGTTCCTAATTATTTGCCAGTTTTCATGGTGTGAGGTAAAACCTTAGAATTTTAATTTTAATTTCTCTTAATATTTCAGTGTGTTTTAATGGGGTCATTTGTGGTTTGCAATTCTTTTGAAAAAGTTGATCTCCTCCGCCCCCTCTCTATTGTGGTTGGCTCTTTCTGTCATGTATTTGAGTCATTCTCTATTATATGGTGCTCTAAGTTTTATAAAGTGCTTTCCTTCTAGCACTTTATCACTCCTTTGTGAGGTAAGTAGTGTGAAGATTACTCTCCACATTTTACAAATGAGAAAACTGGGGCTTTGGGAATTAAATATCTTGCTTAGGATCACATAGCTGAAAAATATCAGAGCTGGAGTTTGAGCCCATGTCTCTTGGCTCCATGTCTCATACTTATAGCTGCTCTGGGCCTGACCTCCCCATGTGGCCTCATGACCTTCTTTGACCTTCAGAAACCTTCTACCTCTAACTTCCTGAAAGTGGAGTTTCATTAGCATGGTTAGTCCAGGGAAGTGAATAGGTTTTTTTTGAGATACTAGGAATAGGGAAGCCATCTAGTCTGTACATAGTATTCCTCATTTCCCCATTCTCTGGCTGACTCTGTTGGTTCTCCAATCTCCCCTAATCTCTGCAGACCCCTCATCGGTGTCCCCTGCCCGCTGGGCTGAGGAGTACCTGGAACAGTCAGAAGAGAAACTCTGGCTAGGAGAGCCTGAGGGAACAACCACCACTGACCACTGGTGAGTCCTGGCTGTTCCTTCCTGTACTTCCAAGGAAAGATTTCAGGCAATATTTTTTATCCCTTCTAACATTTCTCATTCACATTTACATGCTGTCTTCTCATAGCTTCTTATTCCTCCTTAGTTAGCTTCTTTAATTTTTCCTACTTGTATTATGTCCAACATAAAAACTCTGTAAGTCCTGCCCTTAGTTCACTATAAGTCTAGAGCTGCCCTAAGGCCTTTGTTGCATCATTTGTGATTCCTCAGTCCTTCAAGGTTGTGTGTTAGGGAAGGAAATAAAGGAGGGAAGAAGGATTTAGTACCTAGTATATGCCAGTCATTGTGCTAGACTTTTTACAAATATTATCTCAATTGATTCTTATAACAACCCTGGGAGGTAGGTGCTATTATTATCCCCATTTTACAGTTGAGGAAACTGAGGCAGACAGGTTAATTGACTTGCCCAGCATCACAGAGCTAATAGGTATTTGAGCCTGGATTCAAATTCGGGTTTTCCTCACTTAAGGTCCAGAGCTTTGTCTATTACACCACCTAGCCTTAGCAAAAAAGAAGATAATAGAATATGGGAATTCATCTTTTCTTCCATACCCATTGTCCCCTTTTAATATATGTATACATTTCTCTTCAGCTGAGAGGAGAAAGATGTTGTTCAGGGCTAGGAGGGGTATGCATAAGGAGTGTGCATAAGGTGGTTGTTTTTTGGAGCATCAGATCATTCTGTCCTCTTCTGGCCCAGGTACAAGGAATATCTTCCTGATGAAGACCTGCAGTCCACTGCCAATGACTTCGTGGCCAAGGTGGATGACCCTAAATTAGCTAATTCTGAGGTGAGCCTCACCCTGCTGTTTCTGTGTTTGGGAGAGCTAAGCATGGAACATAGGGAATGTGTTCTTCTACCGTGTTCTGTCCTGGGAGAGGGAGTTGAGACAGCAGGTCTTTTCCTATAGTCTCCTCCATTCTTGTCTCTTCTTCCAGTCTGTCAGCCCTGCTCTGGGCTCACATTCTTCCCTTTAGTCTTGAGCCTCTAGTTGATCAGTTCAACTTGGAACCCTTGGCTCCCTTGTCTTCACTCACCCCTTGCCAGGCTCCAAGCCTGGCTTATTCCCACCATCTCCCTCTTTGATCCTAACTATGTGCTACTCACTAAAGGCTACTAGAGAGTTACACAGCTGTGCCAAAGGGGTCTACTAGAAATTTATTGTTTTATCACAACTGTGCCCTCATGGCTGCATGGCAGTATTCTTAGCAACACTTTTATTCTTCTCTAATTGACTTCCTCATACTCTCCGACAGTGAACTTTCTGTCCTCAAGCCCACTGTAGTACCCTAGGATCTCATCTCCCTCTTTACTGAGAAGATAGAAGTCATATTTGTGTTTCCCTTTTCTCCCTATTTGACCCCTCAAAATTCCTTTAGCCTTTTTTTCGTTTCCTGTAGTTTCTGAGGAAGAGGTCACTCTTCTTTGCCAAAGCCAACCCCTCTACTTTTGTCCTTGATCCTTTCCCTTCCTTTCCCTTTTATGAAATTTACCTTCTCAGTTATACCCCCTTTTTGTTTAATCATCAATTTCTTCTTATTTGCTGTTTCCTTACCTATTTGCTACAAATGTGCACAAGTCTCCCCCGTCCTTAAAAAACCCTGCCATCTTAAGCTGTCATCACACATCTCTTCTCTCCTTCACAGCCTAACACCCAGAAAGAGTTGCCTACACTCTTGTCTCTACTTCTATACTTCCCACCTATTTCTCAACTTTTTGCAGTTTGGCTTGCGACCCCCTCTGTTCCCTCCAAGGTGGGATTTGAACCCATCTCTTGCTTACTCCCAAGTCTAGTGCTGTATCCATTTTGCCACTCTGTTTAGCAGTTGGATCTCAGGGTCAGAGGACGGATGGTCTCATAACTGCTAAAACCAATAGACTTTTCTTCGTCCTCATTCTGTTTTTTCCCTCTTTGCTACACTGCTGAGCACTTCCTCCTTCTGAGAACGCTTACTTTCCTAGACTTCTGTGACATTCTTCTCTTTTGGTTTTCCTCCTACCTATCTGGCCATTTCTTCTTGGTTTCTTTTGTAGGATAATCATCTGTCTCCCAACCACCAACCTTTTTTGGCTCTCAAGGCCTCTGTTTCTTTCCAGACTCTCTGTCTTGGCCATCTCATAGATATGATCCTTAATCTCCTAAATCATTGCCAACTACCTGTGAATGACTCTGCCTGGATTTCCCCCTAGCCTCTGAAACTCAACTGGTCCACAACAGAACTCTCGCTGTCTTCCCTTCTTCAGGCTACCTCTTTCCACCCTGCCTACTTATTTTCGAGGGCATCTCCTGCTTCCAGTCACCAAGGGTTGCCACATCAGAGTCATCGTTGACTCTTTCCTCTCCAGCATCCCCTATCCGGTTAGTTGCCAAGTTTGGTCAGTTCACCTTTGACAGTGCTTCTCACTTATATCCCTGTGTTTTTTCTAAATGGGTTGTAACTACCCTAGGTCAGGCCCTCATAATTTCTCCTTTGAACTTGTAGTGTAATCTCCCTGTTTCCAGGTTCTCCTTTCTGATCTGTCCTCTGCATTGCTGTCAGATAAGTATTACTAAGACACAGGTGTGACCATGTTACTGCCTTGCTCTACATTTTTCAGTGGATAGCTGTTTCCTTTAGGATAAGATACAAATTCCTCAGGTTGGCATTAATGGACTCCAAAATCTATCTCTGATCTCTGTTTCCAGACTCCTTTTGTATTATTCCCTTTCATGTAACCTGTGTTCCAGGCACGCTAGCCGGCTAGCTCTTCCCCAAACTAAAGATTCCTCCTTCCGTCACTGGGCCTTCTTTGCACTGGCTACCTCCAGGCTTGGAACCCTCATAGCCCTAGAATTCCTGGCTTTCTTCAAGTATCAGCTTAAATGTCACATTTTATGTAAAGCCTTGACTGACTCCCCCTCCCTCCAGTTATTAGGACCCTCCCTCACTTCAGATAATCTTGTAATAACTTGTCTGGGTATATATTATATCCTCACAATAGAGTGTAAGCTTCTTGGGGACAGGAATTGTTTTTTGTTTGTTTTTTTTATTCCTAATACCAGCATAGTGCCTTGCACTTGGTAGGCACCTATTAAGTGCTAATTGAATTTCTTTCCAAAGAAATGAGATTTAAGACCTGTCCCACAATTGCCCCTCCCCCTTTCCTTTTAGGCAGTTGGGGTTAAGTGACTTGCCCAGGGTCACAGCTAATAGGTGTCTGAGGCTGGATTTGAACTCAGGTCCTCCTGACTCCAGGGCTGGTGCTCTATTCAGTGCACTACCACGCTGCCCCAGTTGCCCTTTCTCTTATCTCCCTCCCAACCCTGTCCTCCGAAATTAGAGCCCAAGATCCTCTCCTTTTTGTTCTTGGCTACCTTTCAGAGTGTTTATCATATCTTGCCTGGAGCTGAGTATATTCAAGGAGAAGGGAGTGTGCAGGGTCCTTTCACCCATGGTTGAGGGCACACACTTGGCAGTCCTGTCCCAAGTGGCCTGTGTGTGTCTCTGTGCCCCAGTTCCTGCGATTCGTGCGGCAGATCGGAGAGGGGCGGGTGTCCCTGGATGCCAATGCGGGGTCCAGCCAGGAGCAGGCAGAACAGTGGGCAGCAGAGTTTGTGCAGCAGCAGGTAGGACCCTGTCACAACCCAGTCCAGCCTCACAGTCAGCTCTTGCTCCAAGTTAAGGTTTCCCTCTCAGTGTTCTCTGATCCCAGGTGGGGAGAGGATGGTCACCGACAGTTTTTTCTGTCAGGGCCTGCTCCCGGCGTGGGTGGCAGTGGGAGCTGATAATATTCAGCTTGAGGGACCTTTTGAGAGGATAAAGAATTTGTGGGTGGTAGAACATTGACTAGCCTTCTACCCTTTCTTTCTCACAGGGCACATCAGAGGCCTGGGTAGACCAGTTCACACGGCCAGCGAATGTGCCTGCCCTTGATACAGAATTTGAAAGAGCCAAGTCAGCCGTAGAGGTGAGAACAGAGGCCAGAAGCAAGGCCTCTTGTGCTATAGGTGCCCTTGGCAGTCTGGTGAAACCCAGGGACCCCTTTCATCTCTTATTTTAGTTTGGTTTGGTTTGGTTTTTCAAGGCAATTGGGGTTAAGTGACTTGCCCAGGGTCACACAGCTAGTAAGTGTCCATCTAGCTGCCCCCAGAATAATGTTTTCAAATGCATAAAATCAGATACATAGATTTACAAGGAGAGTCAATTATATGGAAATACAGTTAATAATTCTTTTTTTTTTAAAGTTCATGGACCACAGGTCAAGAACCCCTTCTAGAGGAATTCTTCTATGGATAGGAGCCCAGGCAGTGGGAATGTAAGACCAAATAGGAAAGTTCCTAGGAAATAATCTTAGAGGGTAGATTTCTAGTAGGCCATGATAGCTGACTCCTTTTCTCCCCAACATGTACCTTCCTACAGTCTGATGTTGACTTCTGGGATAAGCTGCAGGCAGAATGGGAAGAGATGGCGAAACGGGATGCTGAGGCCCATCCTTGGCTCTCTGACTATGATGACCTCACTTCTTCTTCCTATGATAAGGTAAGAGCCATTGTTCTCTGGTGGCCTTTTCTCTTTCAATCTTCTCTTCAAACTGGCGATAAAAGGAAAGCTACCAAGTGCACACTTTGCAAATACTATTCTCCTATGAACCTTCACATGCAAAGAAGCCTAAACAATCATACTGTCTTCCTTTGTTAATAGAAAATCATAAATATTGAATGCCATTGGTTGTAGCTTAAGTCTATCATCCTGCTTTATCAAAGCTGTCAATATATGGGATTTGGCACCGTTCAGGAGAACTAAGGAACACCTGAACTGAGAGGAAAATATTTTGGTGTCTAGTTTGGGTCTCTGGGCTTTCGAAAGGATGTGGTTTTCTTGAAATGAAACAGGATTATGCAGAAGACGATCTATGGAGTGTTGGCCCCAGTGGCTTTGAGGAGAGGAGGGTCCTCTGTTAGTAGGGGACAGCAGTTACCTATGAACGAAGGATCAGGAATGATAGGATCAGATTGTGAATCCTCCCTGTTCAGAGGTTGGTAAATGGTAGTTTATCTTCTTGCCTCCAGACACCTAACTAACTATCTGTCATACTTAAAGTGGCAAATTTTTTCCATTCTAATCCCATTCTTCATATGTTAGCTACCTCAACCAAGGTAGTGTCATTAATTAATGAGGGTTGGGGTGAAAAAGAGAATCATAGAATTCAGAGTTGTGAGAGATCTTAATAGCCATCTGCTTCAACACATACCCAAGAAAAGATTTCCCACTCTAACGAATTCCATAAATAGTCTTCTAGCTTCTGCCGGAGGGCCTCCAATGAGGGACAAGCCTTCAACCTCTGGAGGCAGCCCGTTCCAGTTTGGGATAACTTCAGTTGCTCCGGGTCTGCCTTCTGGGGCCAAGCAGAATAAATCTTATTCTATTTCCCTATCCTAGCTTTTCATGTATCCCAGAACAGCTCTCATGTCTCTCCTTAATCTTCGCTCAAAGCCTTTTACCACACTAAGTAGTCTTTACCTTTCTTAGATGTTCCCAGATTTCTCAGCATCCTTCATATACTGTGACACTTGCCCCTAAGCACAGTATTGGATGTGCTGTGACCATGGTAGAGTGCAGAGGCACCATTCTCCCTCTGGATAGATGCTGGACCTTCTATGGTCCCTGAGCTCCCAGGAACTGTGTTTGGCTGCCATGTCATAGGGCAGCTCATACTGAGTTTGCAGTCTACTAAGACCTCTGGACCATTTTCAGAGTGTTTCTTGTCTACCCATCTTCTCCTGTGAATAGCAAGCAGTATGTGGAGGGTTTGTGAAGCTCTTTCCCTGGGTAATCTTTTTGATCTTCACCACGACTCTGCAAGGCAGGTGATGTTTCAGCTGCCACTTTACAGATGAGAAAACAGGCAGAAAGAAGAGAAGTGACTTGCCTAGGGTCACACAGCTAGGACATGCTTGAGGCAGGATTTGAACTTGGGTCTTCCTCACTTAAATTAGCACTCTGTGCACTGCACTGGCACTGTTGCTCTTCTTGTGCTTGTGAAGTATCCCCATTCTGTGTTTGTAAAGCTGGTTTTTGTGAATCTACATTTAAGACTTTATATTTATCTCTGTTGAATTTCATCTTATTAGATTGAGCAGCTGCGTGTTATAAAATAATAGTTATAATAATAATAGCTAACATTTTTGTACAGCTTACATGTATTTTGTCTGTTCTTTATTATCTTAGTAGACGTTATGTACCAGCTGTGTATGTATCATAACCAATCTATAGCCTATGAGAAACATATAAGATAATATATTGCCAGTTACAAGTTTATAATGTATTTTTGTATTTTGTTTTGTATGTATGTAATATAACATTCAAAAACAATTTTTTTCCTGATTGAGAAAAGGATACAAAATGCAAAACCCACAAATTTTTTTTTTTGGGGGGGAGTTAGGCAGTGGGGTTAAGTGACTTGCCCAGGGTCACACAGCTAGTAAATGTTATGTGTCTGAGGCTGGATTTGAACTTAGGTCCTCCTGAATCCAGGGCTGGTGCTCTATCTACTGCGCCACATAGCTGCCCCAAAACCCACAGTTTCAATAACTGAAAATTGCCAATTGTTTTGCAGTACCTTATATTGAGATGTTATCTTTCTTGGGGGCTTTATGTTAACTACTGAATGAATATGTTAGACACATTAGGGTTTTAATTGGGATTTTACATAGTTTGCATTTATTTCTTTGGTTCTTTGCTGTTTGTATTAACTAATAGTATTATTTTAATAAATGTTATAAATGTATTAAAAAAACAGCTAACATTTTTATAGACTATTGTGTGCAAGGAGCTGTGCTAAGCACTTTACAAATATTATCTCATTTGGTTCTCACAACCTCCTTGGGAAGCAGGTACTGGCATTATCCTTATTTTACAAGACATTAAAGGGCCTGCCCAGGGTCACACAGCTAGAAGTGTGTGATTTGAACTGAGGCTGGATTTGAAATGAGATCCTCCTGACTGTCAGCCCTGTGCTCGTTCTCTCCACCTACTGCTCCTTCTGGCTGCCCACTAGGTCACCTAGAGAGCTGGCCTTAATCCAAGAGGGCTTGTGTTCAAGTCCTGCCTCGGCCACATACTGACCGTGACTTTGGGCAAGTCACTTAATGTGCTGTTGGTAGCTCCCTAAGACTTCTGTTTCAGAGAAAATGCCAGCCTGTGCTGGTAGGGGGATTTCTCCATTTGGGAGTTCTCCATACCAATGAACTCAGTGTCCTGTGGTTACCTTATCTAACCTGTTTAGAGCTTTTTGGATCCCAGCTCTTTTTATCCCACATGAAAGCCATCTCTCCCAGCTTTGTGTCATCTCAGGTATGATCAGCAAATACCTCCTTTGCCTTTCTCCGAGTCACTGATTTAGAAAAATGAAACAGCTCAGAGCCAAGCACAGATTGCTGGGACACCCCACTGCAGCTTCTCCTTCTAAGTTAGCATTGAATCATGACTAACTACTTTTTGAATGAGGGTTCTCCAGGGCTCTGTCCTGAGCCTGCGTGTGTCTCTTTTTGCTCTCTAGTCTTGTAAGAAATCTTGTAAGAAATTAAGAAATCACTTGGCGATTAGCTCTGTATGTCTACTCCTAATCTCTCTTCTGAGCTGTAGTCCCAGGTCACCAGGTGCCTTTTGGACATGTCTGACTGGATGTCCTGTGAGTATCTTAAAGTCAGCATGTCCAGAACAGAACTCATTATCTTTCCCCCCAAAGCCTCCTGTTACTATTGAGAGCACCATAATCCTCCCAGTTGTCCAGGCTTGCAAACTTGGTATTATTTTTAACCCCTTACTTGAACTTACTCCACACGTCCAGTTTGTTGTCGAATCTTGTCGTTTCTGCCTTCACAACGTCGTTCATATACTTCTCTTCCTGTTCTTTCAGTCAGCAAGCATTTGTTAGTTAACCACTTATGTTCACATCCCTGGGAATGTAAAGAGAGGCAAAAATAGTCTCTGTCCTCAAGAAGTGCCCATTGTAAAGAAGAGACAACACGTAAATAACTAGGTACATATCAAATATATGGAGTATTTGGTTTTTTCAGTCATGTCCAACTCTTTGTGACCCCATTTGGAGTTTTCTTGGCAGAGATACTAGAGTGGTTTGCCATTTCCATTTCCTTCTCCAGCCCATTTTACAGATGAGAAACTGAAGCAAACAAGATTAAGGGACTTTTTCCAGGGTCACACAGCTAGTAAGTGTCTGAGGCTAGATTTGAACTCATGAAAATGAATCTTCCTGACTCCTGACTGGGTGCTGTGTCATCTAGCTGCCCTCTGTACAGAGCAGATGGAGATGATCTGAAGGGGAAGGGACTAAGAAAGGCCTCCTGTGGAAGGGGAGAAGTTAGGTGAGCCATGAAGAGAGACAGGGGAGCTCAGAGGTGCAGGTGAGGGGGTAGGAGCCCTCTGGCCGTTAGGGACAGGAAGTTAGATGTTCTAGGAGCTGCAGTCAGGCCAGTGGAGCTAAATTGTGCTGGAGTGGAAGGGGTAAGAAGGCTAGAAATGTAGGAGGGGGACAAAGTAAAAAGAGCTTTAAATACTATACAGAGGACTTTATATTGATTCTTGAATCAATAGGGAGCCCACCAGAGCTCACTGAGCCAGGGTGAGGTCTGGAAAAGGCCTCCAGAGAACTGGAAAAGTCTCAAGCAAAGAGGCTAGAGGTAGGTGGCATAGATCTAAGGCTCACCCAGGGCTCCGTGGGCCAAATACAGAGACCAGGAAGTGGGTGGCCTTAATCAGGGCTGACACAGTGCCCCCGAGAAGTGTGGAGAGAGGCTGAGGTGGATTTGGTTGGCAGGGTGTGGAGCAGGGAGAGTCTTTGATCAAAGTCCCCTGGGAAGGCTGTAGAGCAAAGACAGGCCAGGAGGTGGGTGGTCCTGGGGCTGAGGCAGAGCTTCCTAGGAAGTTTTGGAGAAAGCCCTGGAGGCCTGGTTATTTAGATAATGTTTCCCTGAGTGCCGCAGAACTCTGGGATAGGAATTGGGGGTGGGGCTGTGGGAGGTGCACAAATAGCCATCATACAACATTATGTACAAATATTGCTTATGTATAAACAATGCGTAAGGATAGTATAAATAGTGCTATGAAGATCAGGGAAGGCTTCCTGGAGGAGGTGATATTTGAGCAGGGAAAGGACTCCCATAAGTAGGGAAGTCATGTCACTTATAAGGAACAGAATGAAGGCAGGAAAACACAGGGTGTGCAATGTGGCCAGAGCCAACTGGAACACAGAGTGTTAAAAGGAACCCTATGAGAAAAGGTAAGATAAGATAGTGCTACTAACAAAAGCAGTGCAACTGGGGAAAAAAGTATTTGTATCAAATATCATGGGTAAGAGTCTGCTGTCTCAGTTATTTTGGCACCTAACAGAAATCTGTAAGGCCAAAAGCCATTCCCCAGTATATAAGTAGTTAAAGCACATGAACAAACAGTTCTTAAAAGAAGCAAGATGGTGGGGGAGGGGAAAGCACAAACATTTATTAAGTACCTACTGTGTGTCA